AGGCTTAGGAAACAAGTATATCAGATAATGGAGTTCTAGTTCCTTCTTGATCTGTGATCTGGGGAATGCTTTCGGGGAAAAAGCCTTTTAAATATGCATGTCACCGTACATAGTTCTTGTTTCAAGGATGGGGACGCTTCAGTTTCTATCTGGTTTTGCTTGCTCTCCAGTATTTGATTTTTAATAGTTTATCTGAAGAATAGTTAGTCTGTTATAAACCTTTTTGTCATTTTGGGAACCAGACTCAAGCACTGAGGTTTTAGTTTCCTGTCCTTTCTTTGGTTCGTGTGTAGAATGAACAGGATTGAGAATTATATGAACGTTTGGTTGGGAGATTGTCTGAGGAATCGCCACAGGGTCAGAGTGAGGAGGCTTTGGGGAGAGGGATGGAGCAAATCACCCAGGCTGCACATGGAACTTGCTGCCAGTCACCTGCTGATTCGCAATTTTTGCCTTCTTCCTTCCTAACAAAACTGCAGTTTTGCTTCTAAAAGTGATGCGTCCAAAGGAAGCACCGAATTGCACAGTGTTTCTTGCAGCTGGGTGCACCATAGGACCATGAAATGCACGCAGAAGGGATTTCTGGGTTGTCTTTGCTTTGTAATATAAGTGCCATTCTGTCTCCCATGCTGTTTCTATCTTCTTTCCATCTGTAATTCAGACATGATGCTGAAGGTGAAGCAGCCATCTTGCCACTTTGAGGACAAAAGCTACTTGCAAAGAATGGTGAAGCTGAGAGGGAGGAAAAAATCAATTCTTTGGATAGTTACGTCAGCTCTGGACTTACCACAGTAAACTCCTTGTTGTATCAAAATGGAACCCTCTGTTTGTTAAGCCGCTTCAGTGAAGTTTCTCTGACATGCAGCCAGACATCCTTTCAAGCAGATATTCCAGGTCAGAATGAGAGTCACACCACAGCAGCCACAGAGCATTTTAGACCCGCAGGAGCCAAGTTGTGGCCAAGTCAACCACCGAGAACCCCAGAGGGTGCTGCCTGGGGTGAGAAATTCACCCTGGGTCACAACAGTTTGCGGACTTCCTTGTTGGAGGCCAGCAGGACTTCAGAGACCCTGGCAGGCAGGGAACATCACCCAAGGAGAGGGACAGAGGTTGAGGTCTGGGGACACCATCTTCCTCCACAAACTACAATGTCACATAAGGCATTCATCCCGACTGAGGGAGAGAACCATGATGGTTGGGGGGACGGCTCTCTACGTCACCTAAATAGAGACTATCTAAAGGAACTCCTTCACAGATCAGATTGGACTGGTTTAAGTAAGATTAAACATTTAGTTATATTTTTTTCCCTAGAGGTAATGGATGGGAGCTAGGAAACATTTTCTCTTTATATTCCAAATGTAGTCTATGTTTAATTTTTGCCATGTAGGCCATTTCCAGTGAATTCAAAGCTATTCCACAAGGAGTAATTTATTTAAAGTCTTAGAGGACGCATTTCTGCAAGCTTGTTTGAATTATTTTTCCTACAAAAGCAGCTATTACCTCAAGAGGAATTAAAAATAGAATTAAAATTTCCCTTACTCGTTATCCTCTCTCACAAATTCTATAGAGATATATGTAATGTTTAAGAGTATATATACCACATAACACAGCAAGAATGCTTATAAGTAAAAACTACAGGAAACGCAAGGCACTACAGATTAAAATAGCCTAATAATAGTAGGAGACTTGAATGCACCATTTTCAGTACAAGAAAAATTGAGTAGACAAAAAATAAGTAAGGAGATAGAACAATGAAACAACATAATGAGAAAAGTAGATCTCATGGATACATAGAAAATGCACTCTCTTTGCAATAATAACAGAGAATACACCCTTTTTGCAGACACACATGGGACATTCACAAAAATTGATCATAAGAATAAGCATTAGCAAACATCAGTGAGTTCCATAAAGCCAAAATATTACAAACAACACTTTCTGATCCCAATGTAATAAAACTGGAAATTACTTTAGGAAAAATACCTTCTATTAAACAACTCTTGTTGAAAATTTTTTTTAAAAAATGAAGACTAGAATATTGTAAAGATCACAATAATGAAAAAACTGAATATCAGAAGTTATGGGATTTATTTAAAGTGATCAAAGGAAAATGCTTTGCATTAAAGACTTTTTCAAAAAATAAAAGAGAAAATAAATTCTCAATTCAAAAACAGCTAGAAAAAGTACAATAAAGTAAATGAAAAGAAAGCACAAGTATGGAAAAGAAAAATTAATGTAGTAGAGAATAAGAAACATTAGACCTAATTAGTAAATCAAAGTTCCAGTTTTTGGAAAAAAATTAAAATAGAAAAGGTACTAATTAACTTGTTCAAAAACAAAAGAGAGAAAAGGGCACAAATAAAATTTTCAAGATGACAAGAGGAAATAACCATTGAAATACAGAAATTTAGAAAATTTAAAACCTCATTTCAAAGGAATTTGAAAACCTAAATGAAATGGATAATTTCCTAAGTAAATACAGGTTACCAAAATTGCTCCATTAGGAAAAGAAAATTTAAATAGACCAATTTTCGTGGAAGAACCAGAGAAAGCTATTAAGGAGTCACACCACAAAGTAAGCATCAGGGCCAGACTGTTTGCATGAAAATTCTTCCAAACTTTCGAAGTCCAAATAGTTCCAGTGCTCTTTAAATTGCTCCAGAGCATTGAAAATGAAGGAAATTTCCTTATTTCATTTTCAAAACAGATATAACATTAGTAACCTAAGCCTGATGATGGAAGTATGAAAAGATAAATCTACATACTGATATCTTTCATGAATATCAATACGAAAGTACTAAATAAAATATTAGCAAATAGACCCCAAAACCATATAAAGAATGTGATACATCATGATCAAGTGGGACTCAAAACAAAAATGAAAAACTGGTTCAAAACTGGAAATCTAGTATCATTCACTTTATTAATAGATTTAAGGAGAATCATAAGATTATTCCCATAGATGATTTTTTAAAGTCTTTGACAAAATTCAATAGCCATTCATGATAAAAACTCTCAAGAAATAGTGATAGGGAGACACTTCCTTAATATGATCACACACACACACACACACACACACACACACACACACACAAATATATACCATATGCCACCGTATTCCAGTATCTACTTACTTAACACTAAAGGCATATCCAGGAACAAAGCAAGCATGCCCATCTGCTGTTATTCAACATTATAGTGGAGGTTTTAGTCAATGCAATTAGACAAGAGAAATCAATTACAGGCATGAAAATAAGTTAAAGAAGAAGTGATAAAGAAACTGTGTGGGTGGCCAGGTGGCTCAATTCGTTAGAGCATGAGCTCTGAGCAACACAGTTGCTGATTCGGTTCCCACATGGACCAGTGAGCTGTGCTTGAGCTGAGCTGCCACTGAGCTGCTGACGGGCGGCCTGATGGCTCAGCTGGTGAAAGCGCGTGCTCTTAACAACAAGGTTGCGGGTTCGACTCCAGCATGGGGTGATGGGCGGTGCTCCCTGCAACTAGACTGAAAACGGCTACTGGACTTGGAGCTGAGCGCATCCTCCACAACTAAGATTAAAGGACAACAGCTTGACTTGGAGTTGATGAATCCTGAAAAAACACAATGCTCCCCTTCCCCAGTTCCCTAACACTGTTCCCTTCCCCAATTCCCCAATAAAATCTTAAAGAAAGAAAAAGAAACTGTGGTACATCCATAAGATAGAATACTGTTCAGCAATAAAGGGAGAACAGCTATCGATACACACAATTTGAATGATTCTCAAAATCATTATGGTAAATGAAGGAAGCCAGTCTCAAAAGGGACTTTTCTTTACTTATTTCTAGATTCTCAGTGTCTGGTATGAAATCTACCACCAAGTACAAACAGTCAATGACTGTTAATGAATGGATGAATAGGTACTAACTCCCAAAAGGTTTGAGAGAAGGGAACTTGCCTCTTCTATTGTATTAATTAGAAGGCATGGTAGTGGTGAAGGACCTTCTCTCTGCCTTCTGCCCTGGGAGACACATGGGAACGCTGCTCATGCGGTTTTCACATGGGCTTCTCAGCTCCTCCCTGCTTCTCAGGCGCAGAACCTTCTTCTTTGCCTAATTTATGGCATAATCTGAACGCAAGAGTAAAAATAATTGAATGTACATTTACATAGAAAATAACCACAGCAGTTGAAGACATTGTTTTCATATTAAACCTGTATGTACTTTTCCTTGCAAGGTATATGTGGCTCTGTGGTTAAATATTTGCTTATAGAAGGTTAGTGGTACAATAGGATGTTAAACTCATATCTTAGAATTTTGTCTAAAATTCCAGTGATGAAAACAACAGACACAAAATGCACCCGTATTCTGCAATGAAACCAGATCTGTCTCACTCTTAGTGACTAATTCTGAAAAAAGTGTGAGCTTCTCTATGTGGTGCTTCTCTTATCCTTGAGCCTTTGCTAACTTTTACTTAATGTACATTCTAAACTCATGTGTGTTTGGGGGAAGTAAGGGAGAGGTATATGTCCTCTTCGGGGCAAAATGGTGTCAGGGCTTGGAGAAGCCAATTTCAAGATGGCAGAGCAAGGAGAGTTGGTGATGACCACCAGGACATGCCGGTAGAACATGGAAATATGTGGTAAATCCTAGAAATTATTATTTAGGAGCACCCAGTAGAAAGGTAGAAAAGGAATTGACTTCAACTACTGTTAGCCACATATTAAAGGAATTTTTTTGCACAAGGAAAACCACAAAGGCCTCAGAAGCTTTGGTTACACATAATTTCTATCAGCACATAATGAAGGAACCCAAGGAGAATGTGGTTTTCAACGGGCAGATGGGTAAGAACATGGCTCAGACTTCCAGGGAAAGGGAGAAGGGGAGACATCTTGAGGGCAGACCAAACTCAGCTCCAAAATCATCTTGAAATTTTACCACAAAGTGAAATTCATGCCTGAGTTCTTAGAAGAAGTAAGAGTGGTCTTTCCTAAGGTATAACAGATTCCAGTTTTACACAAATATGAGAAAACAGAAAATTTTATTATAATAACAATAAGCAAACAATGCAAGTGGGCGGGAGCAGCATCAAGGTGTGGGGTGAAGGAAGTGGGTGGCAACAGTTGGTTTCACAAGAAAAGGAGGCAAGTGGTTATTTAGCAAATTGGTGACATTGAGGTTGGGTAAAGTGTTTCTACAGATACATCTAAATATACCAAACATTGTTCTCTTATCTGTTGAATCTCTGTCGTTTGATTTTTCCTGGCGTTTCACTTTAGTTGAGTTCTGAGAGATCTGTTTGCCAGACAACTCTGTGTTCTTCAGTGAGAGGGAGAGTGAGAAGGAACAATTTCAGTCCTTCTGTAAGAATGTAATGAAATAAATTTATGTTCCTCTAGAAAGAATTCTACAAGCATCTGTAGCTATAGATTACCTAATGCAAAGAATTGATTTTTCTAACAAACCATATGGGTAAAATGATCAGTGTGGTCCTAAAGCCAAACACAAGGTAGTAGAAGCCACAGGCGGAGATTATCTGCCAATCTGGAAAGAATCTAGAGGAGAAACTTTTACTAGGGATAAACAGAGAAAGCCTGGGGCCATGTTCTGTTGGTCTCCTGCATTCCTTTCCTCTGTATTTCTGAGAAAGAATTCAGAAGACAGGGAGCAGCCATACTTTCTGCTTTGGAGTTTTGCACATTGAGAATTTGTCCCTCCCCTGTGACATCAATCAACCGGCTACCAATTTCCAACAGTGAACTTGACTACGCTTCCTAGTCCTGAGGGCCCGAGAGACAGAAACAGAGAGCTCTGGCTTTGGTGAATGAGTTTTATGGGGCAGGGGCACCTGAAAATATGCAGGGAGAATAGACAATTTTCATTAAGCTTAATCGTCACTAAACAGAAATGAGAAAATAGTGCTAGCAATCTGCAATACGTGCAAGATTAATTCAGTTACTCCACTCTGCCTCTCAACCTCATCTCTGGCATTTCGCTGCCTAGAAGCATATTGATTCTCCTTTTCAGCGAATTCCCTCTCCATTTGTGCCTTTCTCTTTTCCCGCTCCAGGTCATCCTCCAGCTTTCTGATTTTCTCTTCATACGCCTCTCTTATCCGCCTTTTCTCTCTCTCCAGCTCTTTTCTATGATTTTCTTGCATCCTTTGGATCAGTTTCTGAATCTCATCCTCGGCCTTTTGGAACATCTGATTAGTGTAGTATCCTCCTTCATTCTCCATCACCACGCGCGTGACCAGGGCCAGCAGCTCTGCCCTCTGGACCTCCTGCTCAGCACCTGTCGCCTTATTGTTGAATACACAGTAGCGATTACTGAACTGGCCTATCAGCTCTTGAATGCCTTTTGCAGATTCCTTTAAGTAATCACGGAAATCCATGCCATCCAAGTCATCTTTCCGGGTGAATAAGAGGATCATGTATTTCTTAGCTTTGTTTCCAAACATTGCCAGCATCTCCTCCATGGCCTTGTGCTCTTCCGGTGTGTAGCGGCCCACCGGGATCACCAGGAGCAGAGCGTGAGGCCCTGGGGAGCTCAGGAGGATGCAGCGGGCAATCTCCTGGCGTGTGTCGGCAGCCTGAACCTCAGTGTCGAAAATGCCAGGCGTGTCCACGACGACAATTTCTCTCCCATCCCATGTGCTTTTCCCTTTCTCACAGGTCTTGGTGACGGATTTTGCTGCAATGCTGGAATGAAACACTTTCTCTCCAAGGATGCTGTTCCCTGTTGCACTTTTTCCTGCTCCAGTTTTACCCAGTAAGACAAGTCTCAGTTGTGAATCTCCAGAGCCTTGGTTTCCAAGCCCTGGGACACAAGGAAACAAAAGCCACTGTGTTAGGATCAACCTCCAACTGTTTCTCCTGCAGCCCCCACCCCCACTAGTGCCCTTCTCAATTGCCTGCGAGGGTCCTTTGCACTCCCAGGAGGTCTGGAGAAGCCCTGGGCCTGATGTTCCTCTTGTGGTACTCTGGGGATACCTGGGTACTTTTCAGTATTCCTTTGAGCAGCTTATTCTGACCTTTGATAGCTAAGTGCCCACAAAGGAATGGACAAAATGGTATAAGACGACAACTCTGAGCTGCAGCTGGTAGCTGTTTCTCACAAGCGAATGCAGGAAGTAACATTAAAACTGACTTTGGGACATCACAGTAGAAGATTCTTCCCCCCCCACCACCAATTTATATTCAAAATGGGACTTTTCTTCGCATTAAGAAACCAGGTAGGTGGGTGACACAAGCCATCCCACCCTTGCAGAGGAGAAAAGAGACCCAGTGCAGAAAGACAGTGTCGCTTTGTATTTCTCGTATGCAACCATCTCATCAGGGATTATGACCTGCAGGAGAACAACATACCTTGCATTTAAAGTTATGACCTCTACATAAAAATCTAAGGACGTTTTTATATTTTAAACTAATATGTTGAAGAATTATAGCCAGAAAGTATTGACAGTTCTCTGGAGTTACTATAAAGTCCCTTGACATATCATAATAATAATAATAATAATAATAATAATAATAATAATAGTAACTCATACAAATCAGCATCAGTAGAGTTATAATTTCTTAGCTTCACTTGGTTAGGCATACCCACTTCCTAGGAAAGCTGAAAGTTAATAACAGAACAGCATTGTATATCACCTGAAAGGATGCTTTCAAAATAATTGTGTCTTAGGTTTAACACCAAGTCGTCTCTATAGCACTTTAGTATTCGTATTCAGTAATTCTCTGCTTATCTCTTTATCTTCAGGACTTGTCAAGCACAGACCGGGACCATGGAAGACAACTGACAATCACATGTGAGAGCCAGTTTCTCCGAGAAGGCGGGCCGGCCAGCACAGGAAGCCTGCATTACAACCATCTCTCTCTGCTTTGAGATAATGCATACATTATCACACCGACAATATTACAGGCACTATTATACAGTCCTTTGTATTTTTCAGAGGTATCGTCATCATTCACCCAGCTCCCCCGACCAAAAATCTAGGCATCGCCCTTGATTCCACTCTTTGCTTTACTCTCCATCTCCAGCCCAGCAGCAAGTTCTCTTGGCTCCATCGAAACCTGTCCCCTGCTCTCCATTTGGAAGTCCACCATCACCATCCACACCTCAGCAGTCCCCTAGCTGTTCTCTTTACATCTTCACTTCCACTTTGCCCTGTTCAGTCGAGTCTGTAAACTGGAATAATCTTTGAAAAATACCAATCAAACAGAAGAGAGATTTTGCAGTACCCCCAGTCTGGCTTCTACAAAATCTGTAGGTAACCCCCATCTCCCACACATCTTATGGTGAAGGTTTTGCTAATCCATCCCCAAGTCAGAGTTTCCCACATTTAGTAACCAGAATCCTGGGATGAGAACAGTAAATTTCCAGAAGCTGAGAACATTGGGTACAGGTTGGCTACGATTAAGGGAAAGTGTGAGTGGGAGCTGAGATTATTATTCAGTTGGCATCACAATGAAAGACTCCCACCTAAGGATATCCTGAGGGCGTTAGTTGGCTGTAGAGAGAGAAAGTAGGAAAATCATGGGAGGTGCAATGAAAAGCTACCAAAGGCCAGCTCCAACACTGCAATAATTTGCCCATGCTGATTGCATATGGCACCATAGGTGGTAGGCTGCAGATATGGCCTTGACTTGTTCCCATCTCTGCACACATGCCTCTTTGGGATGTGGATCTGCAGTTCTTCCCATCAACACGCTGAATCTGAGTGGGCCATGTGACTTGCCCTGGACAATAGGGTAGTATTAGACTCCAAAGTGCTGTGCACTGTGCTTGCTTTCTCTTTCTGCTCTTCAGAACCCTGCAACTGCCCTGTGAAGAGGCCTGGACTAGCCTGCCTGATGAGGAGGGACACAGGCCTAGCTGTCCCTGTCACCCTGGCCTGCCCGAGAACCTGGTAACTACCAGACATGTCCATGGGGCTATCCAAAATTATCCAGCTGCTGCTTCATGCTAAGTGAAATAAGTCAGATGGAAAAGGGCTAGAACCATATGATTTCACTGATATGTGGAATATAAAACGAAGCAGCAACCAACCAACCAAACAAACAAACTTATAGACACGGACAGCACAGTGGTTACCAGAGGGGAAAGGGGGTAGGGTGGGGTGGGTTGAAGAGGGTAAAGGGGTCTCATATACAGTGATGGAAGGAGACTAGACTTTGGGTGGTGAGCACACAATGCAATATAGAGATGATGTATTATAGCACTGTACACCTGAAACTTATATGATGTATTAACCAATGTCACTCAAATAAATTTAATTTTTAAAAGAGTATCCAGCTTTGTACTGAACCACTATCTTACCACATGAGCAAGTCTGGCTAAGATTAGCCAAATTGGCTCAGACCCAAGAATTGCCCAGCTGACCCACAAAATCAAGAGCCAACGAAATGGTTGATGTTTTAGGCTACTAAATAATGGAGTGGTTTGCTAAACCAGCAAAACGTCAACTGCGATAGTCAATTTCTATGGATGAGGCAGTAAAGAGAGGGCTATGTGAAAAACTGAGTGAGCCAGTCTGTTGGCTTTGTTGGTTATAGTGCAGCCACCAGAAGCAGGGAAATTAGGGACCTAAATTAAGCATCAACTATTCTCACATTCCTCCTTCCCAACCCTCTCCCAGGCTGAAGAGAGGAGCAGAAAATCTTCCAAAGAGGCTACACTTGGCTGTTCTGGGGTGTCCACGTTGTGGGAAGTAGGAAACAAGAAAGCGTATCAAGCCCGGGGTCAATCAGGATATTTTAACCTCTCTTCTTCTTAGCGGTTATGCTACATCACGAGGGGGAAAGTGTAGAGAAAAGAAAGAGTGGAGTCAATGAACAGAAAAGTAAGAAATGGGGTTGGAAATCTTTTGCTCTTGCTCAGATGTCAGACAGGATAGGAGAACCCCCACACACACCCGCTGCCAGGTCCCCTCCCTCCAGCCTGGTCTGGGGTGCCCCAAGGACTGAAGACTCTCACCATGGCTGGTCCTGGGTTCACTGAAGCTGAAATTCATACTGTAGGATTGAGCTGCCGTTGTAGTTTGAATTCCTGTAAATCAAGAAACATCAGTGTCATTTTAGAGTAATGGAGAAAACCTGGAAACTGAAACCTCATGTAGCCAAGAGTTTCTGCTTTTGCATAAACTTGCTGCTTGATTTCTCCTCTTCTATTTCCCAACACTTCTCCTCACGTCTCCACTGTCCGTCTCATTTTCAAATTGTTGCTTTTTCTCTACACAAACATAAGGCTTCAAGTGCTTCCTCGGCACTGGTTCTGGGCTCCTTTCTGCCCCTCTATTCAGTGAATTATTGCTTTGATGCTATTAGTACCTTGTCTGCAGCCCAGGCCCTCCTCTGTGTTCCCAACATTTATATCCCATTCAGCTTCTCCATTTAGCAAGTTCATGGGCATCTCAAACAGAACCCAGCCAAAATGGAACCCTTCACCCCCACCCCAGCCTGTTCTGCCCCAGATCATGTCAATGATTCTGCCCCCATTTCAGTAGATGGCATTGCCTTTCAGCCAGAGGCTCCTGCAGAATGCTGGGTCATCTGCATCTCATCTTCCCTCATTTGCTCATCAGTCCATCACCACATCCTATGGACTCTACCTCCAAAAAAGGCAGAATTATCCATGTCTCCCTATCTTCCTGTTACCCAAGCCACTGTCATTTGTTTGCTATGTAATAGGCCCCTAACTGATCATCTCATCTTCGATCCCTTTTCTACTCTGTCATCAGATGCCTTTTTAAAACTAAAATCTGATTTTTTTCTTGTTTAAATTTCCTAATGGCTTTCCCTTGTTTTTCTTTCAAATAGTTGAAAATTTTTAGAATGGCCCATACGGCCCTGCAAGATCCATTACTCCCTCTCTTTCTCTTTCTCTCTTTCCCTCTCCCCCTCTTAAAACACTTTAACCACACCAGCCTCCCCAATGTCCCCAGAATCCTCCATGTTCCCTCCAACTTCTAGGCCTTTGCAGAAGGGCCCCCTCTCCCTGGAGCACCCACGCTGCAATGGGTGAGTGTCCAGTTCACTCCGCTCAGCCCTCAGGCCTCGCTTCTCCAGAGTGGCTTCCCCAGTGCCTCTCCCCCCAACACCATCACCACCACCAACACAGCTGTAGTGTGATGCTCTTTCTTTTTTTCTTTCTTTCTTTCTTTCTTTCTTTTCATTAAAATTTATTGGGGGTGACAATTGTTAGTAAAGTTATATAGGTTTCATCTACATATCACATTGTGTGCTCACCACCCAGAGTCAGTTCTCCTTCCATCACCATATATTTGATTCTCTTTACCCTCATCTACCACCCCCTCCCCGCTGACCCTCTGGTAACCACTAAACTATTGTCTGTGTCTATGAGTTTTTATTTCTTCATTTGTTTGTCTTATTCTTTTGCTGTTTTCAGTTTCATGTACCACGTATCAGTGAAATCATATGGTTCTCTATTCTGTATGACTTATTTTGCTTAGCATAATAATCTCAAGGTCCATTCATGTTGTTGCAAATGGCACTATTTCATCTTTTCTTATAGCAGAGTAGTATTCCATTGTGTATACTTCTATTTGCTATCTCACTCTCAGGGGTCCCTGTAGAGTACAAATCACATAGGAAGCTGTTTGTCTGCTTTTATTATTACTCTCTCCCTTCAGGCTGTAAGCTTTGTGATAGTACAGCCATCTGTGTCTTGTAGTTCCCTTTATTCCTTGGGGACAAACATGACAATAGACAAAGAGTTGTTCTAAATTAATTGATTCAACATCCCCCTGATTCTTGCCTCCTTTCTGATCTTTCTGTCCAGCCTACATCTAAAAGATTATCCTTTCTTTATTAATCAATGTTTAGTGTCATACATACATGGTATTACATTTTAAATAGTTTGTTTCAGGTAGAGGCTTGATCACTGCACTGTATACCTGAAGCTGATGTTGTATAATATTGTATGTCACGTCATGGGACGTGGAGTATAACGTGGGAGTGGAGTCAAGGGAATTGTAATAGATATGTATGATATTGGGGGGGAAAGTTGGGCGGCGGATTGGGGGAGGAGGGTTGTCACCTCAAGGGGTAAAAATTATAACTATTGCACTGTGTTGGATAGCTGAAACTAATTCTAAAAAATGTGTATTTCACAATAAAAAATAATTAAAAAAAAGAAATGCAAAGTTTAAAAAAAGTAGGAAGGAGGGGTTAAGTGGTGTTAAAATTAGCTGAATATGGCTTGGGGCTAAAAAACGTTGAATCTATCATTCTTTTTATTTTTTCCCCACCCCTATTCACATAAGAAGCAGTTGCCGAAAGTGAGATGGTTAGCCTGGAGAAAAGAAGACTCCCAGGGAATTTGATAACTCTCTACAAATATTTGAAGAACTGTCATGTGGAAAGGAAATTAGATTTGTTCTGTATGTCCCTAGGGGTGGAAGTGATGGAAAGAGTTCACCACAATACAATGAAGGACTTTCAAACAAAACAAGGCGAACCCCAGAGCTCTCTAAGATGGAATGGGCTCCTTGGGAGACGGGACAGTCTGATCGCCGAGGCAGGACACCCTCTTCAATGACATCTACAGGGGCATCGAGAGAAAGATGGATGGGCGAATTGCATGAATTTTAAGATCTCTTCCAAGGCTGAGAATATGTTATTTTATCAGTGATAAATGGAATTTCTATTCATGAAATAAATAAATAAATATTTTGTTTCATTGCTGCCTACAAACGTTTGGCAATGCAGAATGCCATCTGAAGAACTATTGGAGCAGACTTTGACTGGTACAGTCTGGAAATGCTAGTTGTTAAGGATAGGAAGCCATCATATACAAATTTGAAACACCGTTAGAAGGACAGCCAATCCTTTTGAAAGATGAGCTATTTCTTTATCCTTTAAGGATAGAGAATAAAAAACAGCTTCTTGTAAACCGGGAAGAGAAATCACAGAATTTTTTCAAATCAGCTTTGGCCACAAAGTTGATGTTGGTGACAAGTATCAGGAGGGGAACACACCAAGCTGTGCTTCTTACTCCTTCCAGCGCTCTTCACCCACCAGCTGCCCTCACAGCTAATTCTGTCTGCTCACCCAACTCTATCCCTGAAAGTTTCAAGTGTATTTCTAAATTCTCTAAGTGGTGAAATAGCCTCTTTGCAGCAATCCCTGAAAGAGGTATTAATTTGTAGGGCTCAGCCATTAAAACAGTTTACAGCTTAAAATCAGCAGAGACAGGAAACAGAAAGCAATGAGAAATATATTCTGATAGCAAGTTTGTCGGGAGGTTTAAGATATAGATCCAGGGGAGAGGTCTCCTCTCTACTAAATCACACATTTCCCACCCTTGCCCCCCGCCCCAAACACCCATCTTCCTTTACCTGGAAAGTCTGCGTCCTGCTCCTTCTTTATCTTTGAAAGCAACGTTAAGTGGAGCATTGAAAAGAAAGAAGAAAGAGGAAGTGAGGGAGGAGCTCATGCAAGAGACCGGCCCACCTTACCATCCAGTCTCACTGAAAGAACTTTCTGCAAAGATGGAATTGATTTGTGCGTTTCAATATGGTAACCATTAGCCTCATGGGCAGTTGCACATATAAAATGTGATGAGTGTGATTGCAGAACTGGATTTTATTTCATTTTAATTAATTTGAAGTTCAATCATCACATCTGCCTAGTGGTCGCCATATTGGACCATGCAAAGACTGGAAGGAATACAAGGAGGGAAGGAATATGGGTCACACTGTGAAATTCTGGAAGAAACCGCTGGGCCAAACCAGGGAGCTTCCAGTTCTTCTGAAAGACCCACTTCTCAGCACAGCTGGTCTCCCACCCACCCACAACTAAGATTGTAGCACAGCACTTTGAGCTTAGAGCCACGAGCTGCTATCGGGCAGCCAGATGGAGACTGGCGCCCTCCACAACTCCGATTGAAGAACAACAACTTAGCTGGTCCCCTTCCCTAATTCCCCAACACTGTTCCCCTCCCTCAATTCCCCAATTTAAAAAAAAAGAATAAATATAAAATTTGTAAAGTCCTATATCATATAAAAAATTAAATTGTGATTTAAAACATTCCCAGAAAGAGAACTCTAGGGTAAAATGAATGCATTGGCAAATTTCATTGAACATTTTAAATAAAAAACTGTATGATATCAATCTAACAAAAACCCAAAAAATAGAAAAGAAAATATCCCATTTTATTTATGAGGCCAAACATACCATGAAACCCAAACCACATGCAGACATCACAAGAAAAGAGACCTATGGACCAACAGCCTTAATGAACATAGACACAAAGATCTTAAAAAAATATATTAACAAGTGAAATCCAACAATATACATAAAAATACTATATCATGACTGAGTGGTTTAACCTTAGGTGTGCAAAGTTTAACATTTAATAATAAACATAATTGATCATCAACAGAGTACAGAAAAACATAATTATTTCAATCATTCCAGAAAAAGCATTTGATGAAATATAACAGCCATTCATGATTAAAACCTCTCAGCAAACTAGGAACAGAAAGAAACTTCCTCAACTTAAGGACATACAAGAAAAAAACTATTTCTAACATCATACTCAACAGTGACAGGCTAATTGTTTTATATTTAATATTAGACATCTTAGGCAAGGATACCAGTTCACACTACTTCTCTTCAATACTACCTTGAAGATTCTAGCCATTGCAATTCCACAAGACAAACAAATGAAAGGCATAAAGATAGAAAAGGACCAAGTAAAACTGTCTTTATTTGCAGATGACATGATCATGCATATAGAAAATGTTAAGGGCTCTATGAAAAAACTGGTAGGACTAATAAGTGGATTTACACAGCTGTAGGATACAAGGTCAATATACAACATTCAGCTTTGTTTATTTACTAGCAATAAATAATGGGAAAATTACATTTTAAAAATAATACAATTTAAAATAGAATACAACATTCAAATGTAAATTTAATAAGATGTGCATGACTGATACACTGAAAACTGTAAAAGGAAACCAAGACCTAATTAATGCAATGTTTATGAATTGCAAGACCAATATTGTTAAGGTGGTAATTCTCCTCTAATTTTTCTGTGAATTCAGTAGAATCCCCATCAAAATCCTAACAGAATTTTTAAAAAAGAAATGCTAAGCTGATTTTAAAATTTGTATGGAAAGACAGAAGACATTAAATAACCAAAACAATTAAAAATACAAAAAAGAACAAATGTGGAGGACTTACAATACCTGATATCAAGACTTACTACAAAGCTGTAATAATCTAGATAATGTTATATGGGTATAAGGATAACACAGAGATCAATGGAAAAGAATAAAGTGTCCAGAAACATATCCACATTTAAATCATCACTTGATTTTCAATAAAGGTGCCAAAGTAATATAACTGAGAAAAGACAGTTCTTTCAACAAATAGTGCTGAAATAGCAAGACATCTGTATGGAAAATAATAAACCTGAATCTTTATGTCACATCACACAGGAAAATTAAATTAAAATGGACTTACACCCAAAAGTAAGAGCTAACACTATTCCACTTCCAGAAAAGTATATATAAAAGAAAATCTTGTTGATACTGGGTGGGTTAAACAAAGATTCCTCAAATAGGATAAAAAGCCTAATACATAAAAGCACAATACATAAATTAATTTTGACATCATCAAAATTCAAACTTTTGCTCTTGGAAAGACACACTTCAGAAAATGAAAAGGCAAGTCATAGACTGGGAGACATATTTGCAAAATATATCTCACATAGACATGTATCCAGGACATAGTGAGAATTCATACAAAATAATAATAAAAAAACAAACATCCCAATAATAAAATGGGCAAAAGATTTTAATGAAAAGAAGATATACAAATGACCAATAAGCACATGAAAAACTGCTCAACCTGACTAATCTTTGGGGAAATGCACAGTAAAACCATAACAAGATACTGCTACACACCCATTAGGAAGACTAAAGTTAAAAATACTGACACCACCAAACATTGGAAAGCATGTGCTCTCATAGATTGCAAACAAACATATAAAAACCTACCATATTTGGGGGGTGGGGAATAAACAGTATCGTATAAAGTTAAACATGCAATCCAGCTATCCCACTCAGACTCGAATGTGATTGCCTCTTTATTATAATATTGATAATAGCCCAAGCTAGAAATACCCAAATGTTCATCAACTGGTGAATGAATAAACAAATTCTGGTATGTCCAGACTCTTATAGGTTAAATTGTGCCCCCTAAAAACATACGTTGACGTTTAAACACCTGGAACTCCAGAATGTGTCCTCTTTGAAAATAGGTCCATTGGAGGGCTGGCCGAGTGGCGTGTTAGTTAAGAGTTGGCTTGGGACACCAGCTCCGAGCAGCATGGCCCTAGTTTGGATCCCATATGAGGGCCAGTGACGCTGTGCCCTCTACAGCTAAGATGGTGAACGACAGCTCAGCCTGGAGCTGGGCTGCCATGAGTCTTTGGTGATGGCGTAGGCTGTAGTGGGGCTGCAGTGGGGCTGCCATGAGCTACCGTATGTGGCCGGCAGTCACTGTAAGCGGCCAGCAGCCAGCATGAGCTGCCGTGAGCTGCCGTGAGCAGCTGTACAATGACCGGCGAGTGGCTGCCTCACCGGGGAAGAGCGCAATGATAATACCAACATGGGCCAGTGAAACGACGTCCTCCACAACTAGACTGAAGAACAAAAGGACAGAAACTTGTCTGTTCCTCTTCCCGGATTCCCCAATGCTATTCCCCTCCCCCAATTCCCCAATAAAATCTTTTTTTAAAAAAAGAAAAAGAAAAACTAAGTCTAAACTAAGAGAGATAGTATAAATAATAGAAACAACCTTTAGGGTATAAAGAGAGAAAAAAGGAAAATTAAAATAACAACAATAATATATAGATGGGGAGGGAGAGTGGGAATGGAATTAAAATGTTCTAAAGTAAGAGCAAGCTGTGAACTGGGGGAAAATGTTTGCTTTCTCCCACATATCTGATAAGAAACTTGTAAATATATTTAATAACAGCTGACAAAGAACAGAACACATAAAGAACCCTTACATTCCATTAATAAAAAGACTCATAACCCAGTTTAAAATGGACAACAGATATGAATAAACATTCTTGACGTATAATAAACTGCCTATAATGATTGAATGAGTTTTTGCATATGTCTCCACCCATGAAGCCATCACCACAACCAAGATAATGACTCTAACCACCAGCCACAAACATTTCCTCATGCCCCATAGTGATCCCTGCACTCCTGCCTACCTTCGTCCTAGGCAACCACTCACGTACTATGGTGCATTTGCACAGCAAGTGTCCCTTGATGTGAATGTGTGTGTGGCTGAGACCCAGGCTCAGAGCTGAGACCTCTGATCTCTGTGGGGGATGAGATGATGATGATGATGATGATGATGGTTTTCTGTAACATGGCAATTTGTTGATTCCAAACACAGATTTAGAAAGAATTTTAGGTAATCGAGTGCTTTTTAACAGGAAGAAAGAACTTGAGAACCACTGCCTTAGATACTCCATTTTTTCATATTTGTTGATAAACAGAGGTGAGTTTTCTGTTTGCCTGGATATCTCCCAGGTGTCATCTGAAACCAGCACCCACATGGAGGGCAGCGAGAGACCCAAGAAAGAAGCAGACCACTCTAGGTGGGTAGGTGGCAGTTTAATTAGCAATGAAACTTTCTTACAAGTTTGTCTTGACCCTAAGACAAGTAGTTTTCCGCACCTGCCTGCCTGATCTGAAAAGTTTACCCAGAGGCCTTATCTGGGCTGTCAATTAAACCCTCCAAATAATCTCAACAATACATTACTATTTCAAGGCTGTGTCCTTAGGGTAACTCTTGGGAATGAAAAAGGCAAGTTGAATGCACATTCCAGGGACAGGCTGAGGGGGGCAGGGCAGGAAGGGATGGTGAGAGGGAGCCTACAATTGCCCAGGCCCAGTTTTCTGGTCAATCGGAGGTCACATCTTCTCCATGTCCTACCGCAATTAACCAAACACCATGGGTTCACCTCTGGGAGTGTCAGAGCCAAAGGAATTTCAGTCTTGTGGGGGAAAAAAAGGTTTTATTTTTATTTGTGACAAATAAAGGAAAGAAGGACTAGTTTCTAAAGGTCTGCCTCTCTGAAGGGAGGCTTAGCCATCGTTTCTGTACACTATTTGGTTAGTTACATGTTGATTTCTTCTTTGTCGCTGACTAAACTTACCAGTCGCTGTGAGGTCAAGCTCATCCCCTTAGAGCTGCCTCTGCAAACACTGTGCTGCATTTTTTCATTGAGGAAGACCTGCCCAATCCTTTAACCCCTTATCCCGTCTACCACCAACACTCCATCCCTGGTGACTGACTCTGAAATTTTCAAATGCCCCCCTCTTCCACAATGTGCGCTAAGCTGTCAGCAAGGGAATCCACCAGCAGAGAGGTGGCTCCATTGGTGGCTCTCTGGGTGCACGAGCCACAGCCACAACCAGCATATGCAAGAGAAAACACAGGTTAAGACAATAATTCCCAAAACACAGACGGCTTCTTCCACCTAGAATGCCGTGACCTGAAACTTTGACTTAGCAAGTCCCCTGGGCTGGGGATGGGATCCCTCAAGGTGTTGACTTGTGTCCTCATGTTGTTGTTGGAGAGTGGGCCCTTCTCGGCACAATGTCCAGGTCCTTGGCGTCTCCAGCAAAGAATTGAATGAGATACCAGGGAAAAGTAGTGAAAAAGCAGTTTATTAGAAGAGATAGCACACTTTAAAGAAATAGAAGTGGGCCCAAGCAGTACAGAATGGCTCAAGGATCCATTATTAAAGGAGAAATTACATTCCAAAGAGTTTGGAGCGGGCCGCGTGCAAAGCCAAGGCTCAGAACGCTTGTAAAAGGAAAGAAGAGGGCCCCACTTCCCAGGACTTGGAGTTTTTATCCCTTTTTCTCTAGAATGGACTGTTCCCCTCTGGGCATGGGATCACTTGATTGGCACCTGTATTGACAAGAAGTACTGCGCAGGTGCGGTGACTGGTCTGATGTAGTTGGGTATTTTGTGCCCATTTGTTTTCCTACAGGGGTAGGTAATTACAATGATGAAGGGGAAGTTTTGGGTGGAGAGGGGAGGTCTCCTGGGCAGTGCATTCTGTGGGATGTGCAGGAATGCAGAGACCCAATGCCTGCCTCTAATTGCCTGCCTTGTTTTCCCCTTGAGAGACGTGACCCCATAAAATCTCTATGGGAAGATGAGGGACAGGAGGTCATTTCTTCTATATCTGCTTCCTGCTGGACAGGGGCGTACAGCTGTCCCTACCTATTGGGGGATTCATGGAACTCTCGCCCTAGCTGATCTCAGATGAGAGGAAGGGGTCTTGAGCTCCGCCTTGAAGATCGTGTTGGCTTCTTTGGTTGTGACTAGCAATATTGTTGGGGTGTCATCTGTATCCCCATGGCCTCTAAATGAGGAAAAATAGATTTTAATTAATAAATCTGTTAGCTCTCATGAAGCCTCAGGCCATTCAGGTGCAACGGGTCACTTAGATGGTGTCAGTTGTCTGGGCCCAGAATGGGTTTGGAAAGAATCATTAGGCTTACTGGCCTGGGGGATATTGAGAAGTTACAGGTTTTTAACTATTAATAGTTATCTGAAGCAGGGGTAGGAGATTTCTATGGGCAATCTATTGTTTAGGATTTAGAAACTGATTTACAGACAATCAAGAAGAAGGGGGATAGGAGAATTCTAGGATTCAGGCTAGGAGCAATCTTTAAGATTCAGAAACTGACCAGAAGAGTAATCAAGGCCAGGAGCCAAGTAACTAAGAAACCAGGGAGAAGACTTAACATTTCTATTGGAAAGAAAACTTAGTTTTTCAGTGTGTGTGTGTGGGTGGGGGGGCTACTCAGTTGGCCCACAACAATGTGATTTAATAAATAAAAATGATAGATTAGCAGACTCTTAGGATAGGAACACAACACATTCTGCTTAGATAGTGACATGGATTTCAGCTGTCATGAGAGAGTTTTCTCGTGTCAGAATATACTATTGCCTGATGATGACAATTTTGTAACTTCTTAAATTTGTGGCATCTTGAGAGGAGACAGGAGGGAGTGGTAAGTGCTGGGGACTGAGCTGGGATAACAAACCATCCCAAATCTTAGTGGTTTAAAACAACATCAATCATTTCTCTTTCTCATGAATCGACAACTTGGACAGGACATGGTGGGGATGGCTCCCCTTGACTCTTTGAAGCTTCTTCAGAGGGGGTTCAGTTGGCAGCTGGGGAATCTGCTTCCGTGTTGCCTGACTTGCACGGCTGGCAGGTTGGTTCTGCCTGGCAGATGAAAGACCAGCCAAGGGAGTGGGCCAGTGGCTTCACGTCCTCTTCATGTGGCCTCTCAACAGGCGACTTGGGCTTCCTCTCAACATGGTGGCCAACTGTTGGGGTCACCGCTCTTTAACAAAAACTTAGACAAAAGATTTTCATTCCAAAGGCTTTATTAGCCAAGCCTGGCGACCATCTCACTCTGCAAGAGGAGAACTGGCCCCGAAGTCTTGGCGGGTGGGGAATTTATAGCTGAAGCTGGATACAGAAAAAAAAAAAGTGGTTAGTGAGTAAAAGGAAAAAAAAAACAGTTTATTTTATTTTAACAAACTATAAAACATCGTTAGCTTATCTTCTAACGAGCCATAAAACATGGCTACTTTATTTTCTTCTAACGAGCTATAAAGCATGGCTAGCTTATCTTCTTCTACTTTCTTGACAGGACATTCTGTTATGTTTGGCTGAAGCAGGAGTTTTAAAATTCCTCTGGGCGGGGGTACTTTCCAAAATGAGCTTGCCTAGCCTAGGGTCTGGGTCTGGGTCTCTACACAAGTTCCAAGGGCAAGCACCCCAAGACAGCAAGGACGCATCATCCCTATCTGTCTCGTGGTGTTGCTTGAACCATCCTCTTTATATCAGAGCAGTCACAAAGTGCATCCGATTTCTAGGTAGGGGGCACAGATCCCAGGACTCGACAGAAGGATAACAAGCTCAGGTTGTAAGAGGAAGAAGTAAGACAGAAGATATTGTTGTGGCCACCTTTGGAAAACACAATCTAAGAAATTGTTGTAACCAATTTTGTAAAAGACAATCTACTCATTAACAAATCATTGTAAACTAAGACAAGATAGAAGATTTACATTACTTATGAAAATAGTATTGAAAGCGCATTACGTATCCTATTGACAACAACTTGAAATATATTTTTCCCAGCTTCTTCTCTTATGTTCTTGATTCGTTCATCATATTTCATCCTTAGCTGTTGTATTTTTTCCTCCTTTTCTTCCTTTGGTTTATTAGCATATTCCTTCTCTGCTAGTTTAATTTCCTTCTGTAATTGATCAGCATAGATTTTCTTCAACTCCTCTGCCTGACGGTTCAGCCTTTCCTCTGCGTCCTTGTAGATGTCCTCACAAAAGTAAGTCCTTCCATTGTCCCACACCGTTCTGTCTATCAGCTCCACCAGCTCCTGCACTTGAGCTTCGTTCTCAGCCTCGTCTTTACTTCTGTTATTGAAGGCACAGTAGCGGTTCCCACACTCCATGATGATGTTTCTTAGGGTCACGTCCGCCGCTTTTATAAAGTCACTCAGGCTCTGGTCCTCCAAATCATCCTTATGAGTGAACAAGATGATCATGTGCTTCGTGACTCTCTTCCCAAAGACGGTCTTAATCAATGCAACAGTTTTCTGCTCTTCCTCCGTGTAGCGGTCTAGCCGCAAAACCAGGATGATGGCATGAGGCCCAGGGCTCGAGGCAATGACACAGCGGCTGATTTCCTTACAGGTGGTCATCAGTTTCTCTTTGGTGTCAAAGAGCCCTGGGGTGTCAACAACAAGAAGTGGCCTTCCCTTCCACTCCCGTGGTACTACATGACAGATCTTGGTAACAGCTTCTGCTGCAACTCTAGACTCACATTCTCTTCTCCCAAGGATGGTGTTTGCTGTAGCACTTTTCCCGTTTCCGGTTCTCCCCACCAGGACAATCCTCAGAGTGTTTTGCTGAAAGCCAGCCATGATTGTGTCAAGAGGCTTCTGGGGCTCAGGTACCCACAAGACCTTCAGGAAGGGAAGGAGAGGGAAAGGGGGTCAGTTTAGGTCAGTGGGAGCCTCTCCCAGCCCTCTGTTCTTCTCCCTTTGTCCTCCTAAAAGTATGTAAGAGTCTATTATCCATATTGATTCCAGTAAAGACAGAAAGATGATAATGGTTCAATTGCTATGGGAGAAATAATACAGCAGTTACAGAGTTTTCCCATAAAAGAGTACAGACTCCAGGTGCTTTCATAGGGGAACTCATTTAAACCTTTAAAGCTCTGATAATCACAGTGCTTCTTAAATTATCCCTGATCAGTGAAATGGAAGGAAAACTTTGCAATTTTTTATGAATAAAGTATATATTGATCCCAAAGACAGACTTCATCAAAAAATATGACTGCAGACATTTTCATTTGCAAATATTAATACAAAAATCCTAAATAAATTATTACGCACTAAAAAACAAAGTAATATATCATCATTATCTGATTTGTTTCAGAAATACCAGAGTGATTCGATATGAGACAATTGGTTGTTAAAACACATCTCATTGATCGATCAAGAAGAAAATGACTGGGCCGGCCGAGTGGCTCAGTTGGTTAAGAGCTCGCTCAAGAGTTTGAGCTCTGAGCAACAGCGGTTCGAGTCCAGCCCTAGCTGAGCAGCCGCTGAGCTGCCAACAGGTAGCAGGATGGCTCAGCTTAAAAAAAAAAAAAAAAGAAGAAAATGACCAAGATGCAGAAAAGACATTTTGCAAAATTCAACAGTGACTCATGTTTAAAGTATTACATAAAAATAAAATTAATAGATTCTTCTCCAACATGATTTTATATCACTATAAATTGAAATTTTTTTGTCATCACTATTTTTTCCTGCAGCTAAAATAAGAGATTATGAAGTTCATTTGGATCAAGAAAAAATAAAACTAGCCTATACCATCAAGAAAAAGAACAAAGAGGAACGGCTAGCTCTACCAGATAGTAAAACTTTGTAGTTTCTATAATTAAAGCAGCATGATGTTGGTGCATGAATACAGAGAAGAGTGAAACAAAAACAGAAAAGACAGAACTAGACCCATTTAATCATACGATATTCATTTATATTCAATTCAATTCTATTCTGTTACATTTATATTCAATAAGGCAGTATCTCACATCAGTAGGAAAAAAAGATGGACTAATAAGCAAGTTTGGGGCATCTATATAACCATATAAAAGAAGATAAAGCTGCAAAGATTGCCTCATTCCATTCAAATTCCTAATTGATTAGAAATTTCAATATAAGAAAAGTAATCCATATTAATAACAGAAAAAACATGCATCAATTCTTTTGAATCAATGGTTCCCTTTGGGGTATGCTAGGAAAGCATCCCGTTCTCCTGAACATTGACAAACAAAGGGCAAGAATCAAGCACCTCTCTGGTCTTTCCTATATAACTGTACCTCGTGGAAATGACAGAATGGCTGAGGGGAACCTCCTTTAACAGGATTATTCCATCTAAGAAATGAATAAAAAGCGATATCATTATTTGTGGCCCTTAGTGAAACAATAAATTTATGCTAGGCAATCATTAAAGTCTGTCGATATCACAGAAAGAGAGACAACCAAACATCAAGTGTCTCCTGATGGAAGTTAACAGCTGCACCTATGAAGGATTCCCACCAAACAACAGTCAAACCTTAATCTGACCAAACCTCTCCTTGAAATATAAATTCACACAGAGCACTGGAACTCCAAGAGCAGGTTAAATGACATCTCAAGGACATAATCAACAAAATGTACACTGCCCCATCCTGTTGGACAAAAGACTTCCCTTTTTTTTTTTCACCCCTTTCCCCCCACCTCCAAGCCCTTCGTTGTTCTCAGTCTAGTTGTGGAGGACACCACTTCTCTGGCCCATGTTGGTATTATGATCATTGCACTCTTCTCGGCTGAGACAATCAGTCACAGGCCATTGGATGGCCGCTCATTGCGGCTCACGGCAGCTCACGCTGACTATCAGCCACTCACACTTGCTACTGGCTGTGGCTCATGGCAGCCCACAGCAGCCCGTGGCAGCTCACGGCAGCCCACGGCAGCCCACGGCAGCTCATTCTGTCCACTGGCCACTCATGCAGCCCAGTTCCAGTGGAGCGGTTGTTCACAATCTTAGCTGTAGAGAGAGCAGCTTCCTGGCGCAGCTCACTGGCTCATGTGGGAATCGAACTGGCAGCCCTGTTGTTCAGAGCTAGCGCTCTTAACCAACTGAGCTAACTGGCTGCCCCGACTTCTGCTTTCTTAAACACAGAAATTTCCCAGAAAGAAACAAGGAGGTTAGAAACCTATATGTTAAGTTAAACGAAGCAATATCCAATAATTGTAATTTACGGATCTTACATGGATGCACCTTCAAATAATTTTTAAAATTATGAGACAATCATGGAAATCTGAATACAACTAGTAAGTTTTTAAAAATTTGATTGCTTTTTGAAATCTGATAATGCTAATATTTTAAAACTGGTTTTTACCTTTCAGACATTTCTACTCAAATATTTACTGATAAACTGACACAATGTCTGATCTTTGCTTCAAAATAATGTGGAATGGGTGGGGACCAGTGAGTATATAGATAAAATAAAATGTCCATCAGTTGATAATGATTGAAGTTTGGTGTAGGCACATGGAGGTTCCTGATATTATTCTCTTTATCTTTGAAGAAGTTAAATTTTCACAATAAATATTTTAACCTGTGTGTAACATAACCACTATGAACACTCTACACCAAGCACCCTGATAAGTATGTTGTATATATTTCATTTACTCCCCTCCAATAATAGCCTGCAAAGAAGCTAATTTTATTATTTTAACTATTTAAATGAGGACATTGATGTAGCTCAAAATGCTAAAACACTTGCCCAACATCGTGATTCTAAAATTCCGTTTACGGAGGAGAGGTAGATTAAGGGAACGCAGGGATGGGAGTCCACACTCTTTCCAGATGGTGAACTGGTAGCCAGCCTGTAATTGGGGAAGGCCACAAGGAAGGTTTCGCATACAGTGTTCTAGAACAGTCCAACCTGCCCCCACCAAGCCTCTTCTTCGCCTCAGATGTCACACTTTTAGGGTCAGAGCTTCTCCCTGTTAGTTACTGGAAAGGATTCGGCAAACTGAATTCTAGATCACCCCTGCCACGGTGATGTGGGTAACCCCTGGAGAGGACCCACACTCTCTGTAATCCTGCCTCTTTTTCAGTAAAAAGAGGGGTTTAGACTGGGTGGTCTCTAAATTGCCTTCGTGTTCTGCAGACCTGCCTTGGGGTCACTAACTTCCTATGAAGGGAACAGGATTGGTTACCAGGCAGCCCTCAGTGTCTGTCACAAGGACAAGTGCATGGCAGGTGCACTGGTCAGCACAAGCTTGTCCCATTCACTATGAGACAGAAGGACACTGTGCTCCTCACTTCCCTCCCTCCCGTCCACCCCGACCACCCTGACAGCGTCCTCCCTGCTGTGCTGCCAGCCTGGACTTGGTCCCTTTTCAACCAGAGCCCACCCCCGCGCAGACTCCCTGGACCTGACTGCCCTCACAGCTCCATCGCTTGGGTGCCTCTTGTCAGCCAGGCTCACCTTCTTTCCAACGAGCTGAAGACTTCTCAGGTTTCCTCCAAAGAAGCTGGTTTCAGCAGGTGCTTTTGCTGTAACTGTGAGCAAAACGTGTTCAAACCTTTTGAAACAACTAAGCCAGGAAGCCCTGATTGGGTGGAGCCAGTGAAGAAGCTGTTTGCCCTTAAAGGGACAGAAATATTGGCCCATCATCTGGTTGGTGGGTGCTGTGGTTTTCTCAAGTTGAAACCTTTTCTTCTATGTGTTCCAATTTCCAAAGCCATATTCCTTGTTCTGGGTTATAGTGGTGGATCCAAAAGGCCCTGATTAAAGACCCAAATCTTGTCCAAAAAGCCAGGCATAGTGTCTGACCATTATCCCTGGTGCAGTGGAAGATCACTTGTGATTCTGAAAGGAAGAAGTCGGGCATGGGACAGAGTATCCTGGGGGTTCTTGCTGGTCATGGTATATAATGTGTGTTTTTATGCTAGTCTTTCGGGAGGGTCTCAAGTTACTTTTTCAAAAATTAGCAAGACTTGGGTGCAAAGACAAAAGGGTCTAAACTACTAGGAGCCAAGAGGAAGAGGAAGAGGAGGCCTGGAAAAAAATCTTCCACTAACCACACAGCGTCTCTGTATTTTTTCTTAGGTTCTTGCAAGCTTGGAAGTATGTGTGATGTGACAGGTAAAGGTGCACCCCGGGGCAGATGCAACTTTCCCTCCCAAGCCCTACCTTCTCCTGCCCCAGGCCCCGGCAGAGACAGCTTATCCTAGATCTACCAGAGGATGGTTCCCACCTGCTCTGGAAATTCTCTTGAGGTGAGAGGCAGGCTGTCAAAGCTCTCACAGTTCACAAGATGTTTTAGTTGTTTGTTGTATCGCCATAAAAATATTAAGCTCTTTATGATATACTTTGGTTCACTAGATTGAGAAGCGAGAATACTCAATGTTTACGCTTGAGGGGAAGGACTAAGAGGACCAGGTGTGGCAGGAAGGAGCCAACAGGCTGGGTATCCATGGAGGGAAGCAGCTAGATTTGGAAATGATGGTGTTTATGACCATGTCATTGGTGCACAGCATTGGACTAATTATTGGTGTTAATGACATGGGTCACCTTGAAGGGTTCCAGGTAATAGTTTTCTGACTCTCAGTAAAGGCACACATCAGGAGCAGCATGTAATTTGCAAGGTCTGGAACAAAAGGAAAAAGGCAGGTCCTTTGTTCAAACGTCATTAAGAATTTCAAGATGAAATCAACAGAGCATTAATCCGAGTGAGGGGCCCTTCTAAGCACAGGGCCCTGGGAAGCTCTGCAGACCACACACCCATGATTCTCACCTTGACAAGGCTGCATTTCTGAGTCTAGAGCAGAACCAGACCACATCTCCTGCTCAAAATATGCCCACCATTGCCCAGTTCCATTTCATTCTACAAATTTCTTGAATGAAACTCGTCCTGCCAGAAGCTGCCTTGAATGTTTTCCTGGTCAGCTAATTGATTCTCCAGGTATGATGCTGAGTACACTGCTAAGTTCCCTAAAGGGAGAGGGGAAGGAGTGGAGTAGAACTCAGACGCTATAAAACAGGATGCGGGTCTAGTGGTCAGAGCCCTCAGGCCACTGGCCACGGATGAGCATCTGGACTATAGTAGTCCCACCTGCGAACCCTAACTTAGGAGTGAACCCCTCTGAAAGATTTGTGATAAGTGGACAGTTGCCTCGTCTGTCTCCCGTGTTGTTCCCTTGGGGCTGCACCTCACCGTGAAGAGCTCCTTTCCACTTGCAGCTCTGCTGGGAGCCCCCTGACTCTCGGCTGCTGGTCCCCAGCTGCAACTCCACAAGGTGGCCCCTCCCTAGGCTGCTGCTCCTTCCACACGTCAGAAGGAAAGAGATGAATGTGGAGGAAGCCCCAGCCTCCTGTTTAACATTTTCCCTGTATTCTTTACATCACACACAGGGGCTATTCAAGATATTTTTTAAAATTCTCTCTTGTGGAGTCTGCCTCATGAAGCTCAAGGCTATTTCTGCTGCTGTGATCTAGATAAGTTCAAAGCTCAAACGTACTGGCATTGCAGAAACAATAGCAGGAGGTGAAAGGAATGGCTCCTCACACTCTCCTGACTCTTCTACAAACGGAGAATTAATGCTGGGACATCAGTTTCCTAGTGCTGCCACAACAAATTATGAAAAATGTAGTGGTCTAAGACAATACAAATTTATTCTCTTACAGTTCTAGCGGTCAAGGGCCATAGATTAGTCTTACAAAAAGAAAACAAAGGTATGAGCACAGCTGGTTGTTTCTGTAAGCTCCAGGGGAGAACCCATCCCTGGCCTCTCCAGCTTCTAGAAGCTGTCAGGATTCCCTGGCTTGTGGCCGCATCACTCCAGTCTCTGCAGCCATCATCACAATGCCTACTTCCTCCTTTGACCTCCTTCCCTCCCTTTTATAAGGACCTTTGTGATTACTCTGACAATCCAGGATAATCTCCCCATCACAAAATCGTCAACTTACTCACATCTTCAAAAGTCCTGTTGCAACAAGGTAAGAATTTACAGGTTCTGGGGATTAGAATGTGGCTATCTTTGAGGGGTGGGACCATTATTCAGCCTACCACGTGGTGGATAAATTAAGCTCTCCTGCAACTCACTTTCCTAATTTTTAAAATGGAGCACTTATTTCATGGGGTTATTGTTGATATCGGGAAGTGAGGGGCCACTGTAAAAATAAAATACTTAAAACGTGGAAGTGGTTTTGAAATTGGGTAATGGACAAAGGCTGGGAGAATTTTGAGGCACATCATGAAAAAGGCCCAGATTCCCTTGAAGAGGCCGTTGGTAGCAATATTAAAGGTGCGATCTCAGACCGCAGTGAGGAACGTGTTGTTGGACCCTGGAGGACAGCTAATACTTGTTATAAAGTACAGGAGAAGATGCTGAGATATGTTCTACTGCATATCTGGAAAGATGGACTTGTGAGTGACAAACAAGTGTGTAGCTGAGGAGGTTTCTGAGCCGAGTGTGGGAGGTGCAGCCTGGTTTCTCCTTGCTGCTTATAGGAAAGTACAAAAGGGCAAGAGTTTGGAGTGATGCTTCTACGAGCCACGGCACTCCAAGATTGCCGCAAACCACAAGAAGCTGGGAACCAGCAAGGAAGGATCCTCTCCAGGGTCTTCAGCGAGAGCGTGGACTTTCTGACGTTGGTCTCCTAGAACTATGCGACAATACGTTTTTGTTGTTTTAAGCTACATAGTTTATGGTTATCCGTTACAGCAGCTGTAACATCTCGTACACCACTGTCTTTTTCTCCACCTTTTCTGCCACCTGCCTTTTGTTCCATCCTCTTAACAACTCCAGGATTGTCCCCTTCTGCGTTACCCAGCCTGAGCAGTGCACACTGACTAGAATCCATCTTCCCCATGCCCCACCCACACATTCCCAGGGGGACCATGGAAGCTTCATGATGGGCAAAGCGGTGGCTTTCTCAGAAAGGCGTTTTAAACTCTGCCTGAGCCTGTTTCTCAGCGACTTCTCACTGCCCATGTTCCCAAACTGTATAGCACCCCCTTCCGTCCTCTTTACTTTGACTTTTTCTGAACTCAGGCCCTTTAAAGAAGAATTTGGCATTTGTCACCAATTTATACAGCACCAAAAGAATATCAAAAAACTATTTCTTTTCAAGAGGGACAGACAAAATGAAAGGCTGGCAGTGTAGAAGGCTCCTGAACTCATCTGACACACAGGCCGACTGCCCGGATGGTATGAGCTCAGAACGTCATGATACCACATGTGCCTGAAACATTGCCCCAATCCCACCAGGAAGAGTCAACCTCGCACTCTTACAGAATGCCAAATTCACACAAAAGAATCATTTTATCTAAAAAGTAGAGGAGGGCATATCCCATATAAATAAGACAAAACCAGCTTCAATGCATTCAAATATACAGGAGACATCTGCCTAGGCTACGTGGGCAGCTCAGGATGGCAACACCCTGACACTTTGCATCCTTCTGTTAGCCCAACAACACTGGTTTCATCCCATGAGCTTCAGAGTAGACTCTCATGGCTGTGCATCAGCCATTAACACATGAAATGTGTTCAGGAAATGTGGTCAGGAAAAGATTCTGCCACTATCAAGATCTATGGCTTTCAACACACACACTCAAAACCAACAACCCATAACCCCCTTGAGCCCCACTATCTTTACAGGTTAGAAGATAGGGAAGTGTTAAGATGATCTAAGTCTGATGCCTACCGAGGAGTTATATAATACGATAACATTTGACCTTGCCCAGTGAGAACAAATCCCCAGACTCTCCCACAGGCATGAATCACGAGCCCTGGCCGCTTACTCACACTGCTTCTCAGGTGTTGGTTGATTAGAGAGATCATCCTATTACAGTGGACAGGGATCCTCAAAGGGAGACCGCAGGGAGGGACCAGTCCTGGGGCTCTTGGCTTGAAGCGTCTGGTGTGAGGAAGCAATATTACTATGGGCCATTGTCTCCCAGTGCTTTGAGTCCCTAGAGTCATCAGAGTAATGTCGAGTTACAGACAGTGACAGGTACCAGCTCTCTTTGCCACTTGGCACCAACCTCCAGGAAAGCAAGAAGCAAGGAAGCAGGAATTTTCTCCCAGTTTCCTGCTATTCTTAACACGCTCCCAGCTCCTGCCTTACTCATCTTCCAAGACTTTTTAGTCCCCTCCCTCCCAAACCCACAATGTTTGCTTGAATATCCTCTCAATCCTTAGCCATTCCATGACACTAGTGCTCAGAGAAGAGGCTCCTCAGGAAAACAGGAATCGAGGAAAAAATTCAGAGGCTGCCATATCCATCTGGTAGTATTCACTAACTTGTCCTTCTTGTGGGTTTCCAATTTGGTTTGCACGATTTCTGCTGTTATCTGCATTTCTTCCTTTTGGTTTCAGTTTGACAACGTTTGTTGCTTCCCTCCAATCCTCCCATAGAGTTTTCTTAAGTGCTTTATTGCTAATGATAAATGCTATAAACAAAACTTCAACAAGAGACAAAGAAACTGCTTTAATGTATCTCAGCATATCACAGCTCAAAAACATTTTTTTGGTTTCTCGTAATCCCCTGTATTTTCAAGAAATGAGCTACAGGATGATTTATTGTAA